TATATATATTTATATATATATGAGATATTTGATCATGAATGGAAAGTTATTTCTTCTAGAATTAGTAGAAGAAACGAATTTAAAACTAATGTCAGAACTTTTAGAAAAAAATTTCGAAAAACTTTTTCCAAAAGAGGAAAGAGAATCTTTTTAGGAAGAATTTTTTATATTTCCCAAAGAATTAAATTTTTTTAGTGGGCATATTTCTAAGTTTTTAATAAAATACTCACTTCAAAAAAAAAAAGAAAAAACTATTCAAAATGCAAATACTCCAAAAAAGACTTGGAAAACTTCTTCTGATGAATCTTTTCAATCATCTCATCCTCCTTTGCAAGAGTAGTAATTCCACATGGAAATACTGAAACTCTTGCTTCTCCTCTTAAAAAGATATCTGAAGAATGACCTAATGAATCTCAATTTGTTGCTAAAGAGATAAAAATTATTCAAGCTCAAAATAACTAAACTAATGTAGTTCTTCTGTTACACTTCACTCATTTATAGTCAAAGTCAAGAAATGATATAGTCAAAGTCAAAGTCAAATAAGGACTTAAGTTGTAGAAAAGATTTCATGGGGCCTAATTTATAATTACTCATACTTAAAAAGGGTCACAAACAAATATGAATTTAGAGATTTAATGTTTTATTATTATACTTATAGGACTAAACGTTATATTATATGAAGATTTGGGACTTGAGTTGCAACTATACAATATATATCCACTTAAAGGATAAGTAATCCCTTACTCTCATTTAGGGAGACAATTTCATTTACTAAAAGTCTACAGAAACGAAGCAGAAGGGGGGGAAAAGAGAGAGAGAAGAGGGGGAAGAAAAAGAGGTTATTGAAGAAGATGAAATATGGACTCAAATATAAGGTTCTTCATTTCTTCTATTCCAAGAGGTAAGAAAACACATTGTTGTCCAATATATATCCACTTAAAGGATAAGTAATCCCTTACTCTCATTTAGGGAGACAATTTCATATACTAAAAGTCTACAAAAACGAAGCAGAAGGGGAAAAAAAAGAGAGAGAGAGAAGAGGGGAAGAAAAAGAGGTTATTGAAGAAGATGAAATATGGACTCAAATATAAGGTTCCTCATTTCTTCTATTCCAAGAGGTAAGAAAACACATTGTTGTTCAATATTGCTAAATTTGACTTTGTAATTAATGGCTTGTCTTTAAAGATTTGGAAGAAAGATTAGGTAATGGAGTTGAATATTTGTTTAAGTAAAATTTTGAAATGGGTTTATGAGATAAACGCATTCTTCGATTTTCTTGTGATTTTGTGTTGCTAAAACACTTAATGTAAGGATTTGAGGTTCGATTTATCAGTTTTAGAGCAATTATAAGCTATTTTCGAGCAATTGTAGTACACAGGTGTTAATTATGAAATTCTGCCCCCCGAAAAGTGCTATTTTTGCCAATGGTTTTGATGCCAAATTTCAATATACAGAAATTGGTGCTAGATTTCTATATTCTAGAACTTTAGTGTTGTTTTTGTCAAACCTTGGATTTCCAGATTTTTAAAGGTTTGAATGAATTTATATGACAAATATTGAAGTCTATGTATTGGACTAACTATGCATAAGGTTTGTATAGTATATGTATAAGGTAGTGATTTTATGAAATTATAGTGATTTGATGGAATTGATGATGTTTCGTGATTTGTTAGTAAATAATTGAAGAGATGAAAATTTAAAGAATGGCAATGCTACCTACACAGGCTCTTTTTCACAAAGCCTGTACAGGTGTACACACATGTGGTCCACATGTGGGGTCCATCCCCATGTGAGCCCCTGTACAAGCCCTGTGCAAAAGGGCCTGCGCCAGAGGCTTTTTCCTTCAAAGAAATAGAAAGGCAAGAAATATAGAAGTTAGGGGAATTACGTGGTCGATTTGTATTAGTTTAATTGTTAGATTTTAATTTGAGTTATTATATCGTTATTTCAGGTAGTGGCTTGAAAGTTTGAAAATGCCAATCAATTTAATAGAATTGTTATCCATACATACATCTGTGAGTGGAAAAACTTATATATTTTCAAATAGTAATAAGGTACTTACAGTATTACATTACGTGTTATTATGCGAATTATTTGTTTAATTACATGATTAACATGGAAAGATTCTTTTACTATAATATATGCGGAATTTAAAGTTTGGATATGGATTATTTGTGAATTGGAATGTGAGACATATATGATATTGAGATTGACCAGAAAAGTATCCATGATTATATACTTCTTCTAATTCACAGGAAGGCATTAACCATGTTCTACACTACACTGAGGGGTCGACTGGGGATGAAAAAGTCGTGACCGTGTACATATAGTTCATTGAGGAGCCTTGACCATGTTCTAGAATCGATTCACTTTCGTGCACGGAGGGGACAAAGGCCCGTGATGTTAGATTTAATAAGAGGGTACATTTTTTGTGGATCACATGTTATGTGCTGAGATGATGGTATAGATATCAGTTGATGACTATATCGTGAATATGAGAGATGATATTTACAGAATTATGAGAATGTCTCTTTTTTAACATAATTTTATTAGGCTATCGTGTGAATTACTAAACGATATATACTTCATGTCTATGTATGAGAAAAATGTTAAATGAGAAAGTATAATTATTTTCGAACTCTTCTACTCACCGAGTTATAAACTCATTTTTTTCTTACAGGTACTATTGGTCCTTGATAGCTTGAGGAGCCTGGTGGTTTTAGAATTAAAACCACAGAAAATATTCAGTGATACAATTCATTTCGGTAAAATATGAAGCAATAATTTCGGTGATTTTGGTGCATATTTTGTAGTAAATCACAATCAGCCTTGTGGTCGATCTGACATCTAGTTAGCATCTATCATCGATGCACGTCACGTTCCTAGTCCATTAGGGTGATTCGGGACTGGATGGGTCGTATCATCTTCAATCTATGTGTTCTCAACTCAACAGCATTGAATTAAATTCTGAAACTGAGACACCATCAATTTCGAAAACTATTAGGCCAACGGAGTCAATTTTAATAAACAAGCATGAGGCTACTCCAAAAAATTATCTTAAAACTGAGGTCAATGTCCTAAAAGAACTAGCAACTCAGTTATCAAAACTATCATCATCTTTCACTTCAAATAACAGTATTGATGATCATGAATCTCAATTTATTGATGATAAAATTCCTTATACTTTTAAACTTTAAAACAAAAAAGTTCAATTCTCAAAAGGTCCTCCTTATTATCTGAAAAATACTCCTCCTGGTTTACTTTTTGAAGAAAAGTCCAAAATCCCCGCAACATTTATTGGCAATGGTATAACTATCTGGAATATTGACAGTTTAACCGAATATCAAAATTTTCAAACTCTTGAAAGAATAGATGCTTGCTTTAATGCTTATATTCAAGAAGGTCGAAGCCACAAATAATATTATTCAAAGTTTTGTTGGACAAATTAATAATCGGTGGTTCAATTATATTACTTAACAAGAAAATTTTCAAATTGGTCAAGCTATAAAACCTGGTGGATGCAATGATAATTTTAATACTTTAATTTTTAGTATTATTAAACATTTTGTTGGTTCTCCAACAGACGTTATAGAAAAGATTTCAAATACTTTACTGACTTTAAATTGTTCAAGTTTACAGGATTTTTGCTGGTATGATGATATTTTTTAACACAAGTATTTTTGTGAAAAGATTGTAATCAAACTTATTGGAAAGAAAGATTTTTATCCGAAATTCTAAATTTTTTCTGAAAAAGTTAAAAATTCAATAAAAAGGGAATATGAGAATAATATTCCATATGATATTCTTACATATGGAGAATGAATTAGTTTCATTAACAGAGAATGATTAGTTCTCTGTAATGAAATTAAACTCAAATCTAAATTGCAATCAGAAAGATTAGACAGTCAAAGAGAACTAGGATCTTTCTGTGAACAATATGGACTTGAGAAAATAATTCCTCCTTCAAAATGAAAAAGAAAATTTTATTCAAATGAAAAGAATTTCCAAAAACCTTCTTATTCAAAAAATTATTCTAAAAGGAAATTTTAAAAAAGAAAATTTTCAAAAAAGAATAATGTTGCTTGTTGGAAATGTAGAAAGCCAGGGCATTATTCCAATAAGTGTCCTCTCAAAAAGCAAGATTAATAATCTTCAAATAGATGAAGATATTAAATGTGAACTCCTCAATCTTATCGATTCAGATTAAAGTTCTAATGAAGAAAAGATTTTTGACTTAGAACATGTTTATCAACATTGTTGGATTTTTGATATCCAATAAATCCCGGGCTATGATATTAACGTGGGTTAATATTATTTCATAGGCATAGGTCGATGAATAAAATAAGTTCAACAATCAAGTCCATGAGCTACACCCGACCCAATTGTATTTCCTTATGGATGACTTGAATCTTGGTCCGTTTACCCCTTTAATGGCCCAACTTAAGGCCTAACCCTAGAGTATATATTTGGTTATAACCCTAGCCAATTTCTAATGATGTATTGTGTGATTTTGAGAGAAGAAAAAGAGAATCCCGATTTTCCCCCTTTGTGTGAGAAAAATGGTGTCCAGAACGCTTGTATAACATGTACAATTGGTGATTCTTTAATAGTATACCTTTGTGGTGTCTCCTCTTAGCATTTGCGGCCACAAATCATCATCCTTTCTTGTCCTACATGGGTAAGATTGAATAGCAACCAAGGTGAATCAATTGGTTGTGGTTTGGAGCCGATTAGACTGGTTGTTGGTTGAGAAAGGTACATTGGACTGAGCCCGAAAATCACTGATTTGAAGATCTTTCAAGAGAGCTTTCGCAACAATTGATATCTGAGCTTTAAGTTGGTAGTTTTGACTCATGAAAC